TGCCACCAGAAAGCTACTAGAGCTAATCAATGAATTTGGTAGTGTTGCAGGATACAAAATTAATGCACAGAAATCTCTTGCATTCCTATACACTAATGATGAAAAATCTGAAAGAGAAATTAAGGAAACAGTCCTATTTACCACTGCAACAAAGAGAATAAAATACCTAGGAATAAACCTACCTAGGGAGACAAAAGACCTGTATGCAGAAAACTATAAGACACTGCTGAAAGAAATTAAAGATGATACAAACAGATGGAGACATATACCATGTTCTTGGATTAGAAGAATCAATATTGTGAAAATGACTATACTACCCAAAGCAATCTAGATATTCAATGCGTTCCCTATCAAATTACCAATGGCATTTTTTACAGAACTAGAACAAAAAATCTTAAAATTTGTATGGAGACACAAAAGACCCTAAAGATCCAAAGCAGTCTTGAGGGAAAAAATGGAGCTGGAGGAATCAGACTCCCTGACTTCAGACTATACTACAAAGCTACAGTAATAAAGACAATATGGTACTGGCACAAAAACAGAAATATAGCTCAATGGAACAGGATAGAAAGCCCAGAGATAAACCCACACACCTATCGTCAACTAATCTATGACAAAGACGGCAGGGATATACAATGGAGAAAAGACAGTCTCTTCAACATGGGGTGCTGGGAAAACTGGACAGCTACATGTAAAAGAATGAAATTAGAACACTCCCTAACACCATACACAAAAATAAACTCAAAATGGATTAGAGACCTAAATGTAAGACTGGACACTATAAAACTCTTAGAGGAAAACATAGGCAGAACACTCTTTGACATAAGTCACAGCAAGATCTTTTTTGATCCACCTCCTAGAGTAATGGAAATAAAAACAAAAATAAACAAATGGGACCTAATGAAACGTAAAAGCTTTTGCAAAGCAAAGGAAAGTACAAACAAGACAAAAGGGCTTCCCCGGTGGCGCAGTGGTTGAGAGTCTGCCTGCCGACGCAGGGGACACGGGTTCGTGCCCCGGTCCGGGAAGATCCCACATGCTGTGGAGCAGCTGGGCTCATGAGCCATGGCCACTGAGCCTGTGTGTCCGGAGCCTGTGCTCCGCAACAGGAGAGGCCAAACAGGGAGAGGCCCGTGTACCGCAAAAAAATAAATAAATAAAGACAAAAAGAAAAACCCTCAGAATGGGAGAAAATATTTGCAAACATATCAACGGACAAAGAATTAATCTCCAAAATATATAAAGAGCTCACGCAGCTCAATATTAAAAAACCAACCCAATCATAAAGTGGGCAGAAGACCTAAATAGACATTTCTCCAAAGAAGAGATACAGATGGCCAAGAAGCACCTGAAAACCTGCTCAACATCACTATTAGAGAAATGCAAATGAAAACTACAATGAGGTATCGCCTCTCACGAGTTAGAATGGGCATCTCAGAAAATGTACAAACAACAAATGCTGTAGAGAGTGTGGAGAAGTGGGAACCCTCTTGCCCTGTTGGTGGGAATGTAAATTGATACAACCACTATGGAGAACAGTATGGAGGTTCCTTAAAAAACTAAAAATAGAACTACCATATGACCCACCAATCCTACTACTGGGCAGGTACCCTGAGAAATCCATAATTCAAGAAGAGTCATGTACCACAATGTTCACTGCAGCTCTATTTACGATAGCCAGGACATGGAAGCAACCTAAGTGTCCATTGACAGATGAATGGTTAAAGAAGATGTGGCACATATATACAATGGAATATTACTCAGCTATAAAAAGAAATGATGTTGAGGTGTTTGTAGTGAGCTGGATGGACCTAGAGTCTGTCATACAGTGTGAAGTAAGTCAGAAAGAGAAAAACAAATACCGTATGCTAATACATATATACAGAATCTAAAAAAAAAAAAAAAAAAGGTCATGAAGAACCTAGAGGCAGGATGGGAATCAAGATGCAGACTTACTAGAGAATGGACTTGAGGATACGGGGAGGGGGAAGGGTAAGCTGGGACAAAGTGAGAGTGGCATGGACATATATACACTACCAAATATAAAACCGATAGCTAGTGGGTAGCAGCCATGTAGCACAGGGAGATCAGCTCGGTGCTTTGTGACCACCTAGAGGGGTGGGATAGTGAGGGTGGAGGGAGGGAGATGCAGGAGGGAAGAGATATGGGGATATATGTATATGTATAGCTGATTCACTTTGTTATAAAGCAGAAACTAACACATCATTGTAAAGCAATTATACTCCATTAAAGAAAAATAATATAAAAAATAAGAAAAAAAAAAGATGTGGTACATATACACAATGGAATATTACTCAGCCATAAAAAGGAATGAAATTGGGTCATTTGTAGAGACGTGGATGGATCTAGAGACTGTCATACAGAGTGAAGTAAGTTAGCAAGAGAAAAACAAATATCGTATATTAATGCATATGTATGGAACCTAGGAAAATGGTACAGATGAACTGGTTTGTGGGGCAGAAATAGAGACACAGATGTAGAGAATAAGCGTATGGACACCAAAGGGGGAAAGTGGCGGGGGTGGTGGTGGTGGTGGGATGAATTGGGAGATTGGGATTGACATGTATACACTAATATGTATAAAACGGATAACTAATATGAACCTTCTGTATAAAAAAATAAATAAAATTCAAAAATTAAAAAAAAAAAAAGCTCTAAGGTTAAAAAAAAGTCATCTCTTGTCACAAGGCCATTTGCCTAGAGGCAGTGCAGAACTGGAAGCATTTTGTCATTTCAGCTCCCAAAGGTTTAGTCAGTTCTCGAAAGCCTGTGCCTGATTTGCTGGCCTGGCTTGTAACCTCAGTGGAAGCACAAGTTCAATTGAGGGTGTGTTTGATTTAAAATTAAGAAATTGACATGACTTTCACCCTCAATTTATTTTTGGAAAAGGGATATTGCATTTAGTTACTTAAAGCAGTTTGGTGATAATTAAAAGAATGGCGTGTCAGTTCAGACAGCCCCCATGAAGGACAGGTAAGATTTTAAAAAGAACTGAATTTCATGTTTCTGCGGAGAGTGTAATAGGACCTGTTCTGCCCGGCAGTTGTCCCACTTGTCCTGTCTGGCCTGTCTGTAGAAGGATTCATGGGGACCCAGACCCAGCAGCCTGGGAAGGGAGAGGTCCAGCACTTGGGATGAGAGGTGGGGGCGACAGCTGATGGATGGAAACAGGCAGAAGCTGGTAAACAAACAGGTCCTGACTGCTGGCAGGTGGTGGTTCCACGGAGCATGGCCAGCCGAGTGGCAGGGCACAGAGTGAGGTCTGTAATGGTCAGGGGACCAGGTAAGCCGGTTATCACCCTCCTAGGCAGCCTCAGGAGATGGGCCTGGAGCTCCAAGTCCCTCCTGGCTTTGGTCAGGACCGGTCTTGGGGCTCTCGGAGAGAATGTCCAGACAGGAGGGCTTCGCAGGCAGGGCTCAGCAGCTCCCAAATCAACAGGGTGCACCCTGGTTGTGGTGGCTGAATTCTTTATTTGGAATTTGATGTGACAGTCAGATGATCTCATCTTTGCTGACTTCTGCGCCTTCTAAGAATCCCCTCTGTCTTTCCCATCCCGTCCTGTCCTGTCCTTTCCTCTCCTCTCGAGTAGACTGATGAAGAGGATGAAGTTGAGGTAGGATGTTTATAAACACAAAGAATGCCATGTGTGACCTTCTCAAGCGTGCCGTATAACCTAACCGGACATAAGCAGCATGAAGTGTCAGCCCTGTTCAGTGCTTTAAACCTTGCATGACTGTTTTCTGCTGGGTTTCCATGTGATCACTAACCCCCTTACACGGGTTCTCATCATGATGTGTGTGCCAGGGACTGACTGAAGGGTAACTGCATTTTCCAAGCTGTCCCTGAGTTCCAGGCCCTGTCAAAAGTGGCAGGGTCAGCAGATCTTTTCCTACTGATGGACAAATGGACAGAGGGGTGGGATGGGCAGCAGCTCCTCCCCCTGACCCTGGTGCAGATGCCAGAACCAGAGACCGAGGCAGGGCTGCTCAGCCCTGAAGGATGAGGAAGGAGCTGTGCAGATGGTACAAGTCACGGATGTGTCCCAGGCTCTAGCACCAGGGCTCATACACTGGATAAAAAGAGGGAGCCAGAAGTCTATGGAGCTGCTCTTTGCAAACGTTATTCTAACTGACTTTTTATTTTTCATCCAGATGTTTGGCATTGTGTGCATATGGCCTGATATTCTAGCATACCTCTTGTAAAACATATATGCTGTCTTTGTTCAGCTAGAATTAGAGAATATCATCATGTGAGTGTAATGCTTGTGAAAACAACTAAATTTTTGACACAAGGAGAAGTAGTGAGTGTTGCCAAACTCAGTTTCAGCAGGAATTTCTGTGCCATGTTCTGATCTGGGCCCTGAATCAAAGCCTTTTGGGGCCTTTGGCAAGTCACTTAATCTTGGATGGCCTCAGTTTCCTTCTCTGTAAAGTGAGGTGGGACTAGTTCTGGAAAAATCCTTCCCAACTCCTAACACTGTATGATCCTGTAACTGAATCCCACTTTTCAACTTGTACCATCTTAAGTGATATATGAGAAACTTCTAACTGCTTTCTGGCACTACGTTTTAAAAAATAAATCTCACTGTATTTGATAAACAAGCATATTTCAATGCTCCTATCAAGGCTGTGGTGTTAGAAACAGATTTGGTTTCTGAATTTTTCCCAGAGTTGAGGTCTGTTGCCCCTTGCTGGCTCCCACTGAGGGGATCTGCAGTGAGCTGGGAGACCCACTACCTGGAGGGATGGGTGTGGTCCTTCTGGGGCCAAGGCTCCTCTTTCTGATAAGAGAACTTCCCGGATATGCAGATACTTTGTCATTAGTTCATTGACCCCTCATTGACTGCTCATCACTAACTTGTTTGCAGAATGCACGGTAAACAAAAGACAGAGAAGAGAGGGCTTTCCTCAACTAAAGGTTTTCTAAGCTTGAGTTGGCTTTTAGTCACCTCACGCCCTAACCCCCCTTGCTCTTGCAGTCTGGCAAGTTCTCCAGCGGTTCCCCAGCGCCCCCGAGCCAGCCACAAGGCCTGAGCTATGCCGAGGATGCTGCCGAGCACGAGAACATGAAGGCTGTGCTGAAAACCTCGTCCCCTGCCTTGGAGGACGCCACCCCCGTGCTGGGTGTCCGCACACGCAGCCGAGCAAGCCGAGGTAACGCCCTCTTCCAGGGTGGCCACCCCATGGTGTCGGTCCCCGCCACAGGGAACAGATTACTGTGCCCAGGAAGTGGCCGCTCAGGGCCGTCCACTCCCCAGGGTTCTCCGTGCTGAAGTCATCATACTTTCCTTCACTCACACCTTTGTGACCCACCTTCAGTAGCTTCATCTCAAAAACAAGCAGCCCTTCCCAAAAGCACAACTTAATTTGAACAAGAGGAATTAGTATTGTGAACGAATCCTCATGGGTTAAAGCCCCCAGGCCAAATTGAGCCAGCCATTTATTCTTGTAAATAAGGTCTTATTGGAACACAGCCACCCTTCCTTGTGTGTGTGTTGTCTAGGTGCTTTTGCACTGCGGTGGCAGAGTTGAAGGGTTGCGACAGAGACTACAGGGACCATAGAGACTAATGTTTTTACTCTCAGGCGGGGTACAGAAAAAGTTTGATGACCCTTGGATTAAAACGCTATCCCTTTTTGCCTCTGAAGTCCTTGGAGGCAGAGAGGAAACTAAAACTTCAAGATGTTAAAGACAGATAAGAGTTTCCAGGTTTGTTTCATAGCCTGGAAGGGACTTTTTGTTTTAATTAAGAATTGAGATGCACTTTGCATCTGAGAATGTTTACCCGTATTTCCCTGGTCTAGTCTGATGCCACATGAACCTTCCTAGGTTTCCTCGCTGCCTGCAGGATCCAGCCCACGCGATTCATGCTGTTGTTTGAGGTTCCCTGGGGTCTGGTCCCCTCCTGGCTCCCACACTTGGCTTTCACTCAGCCCCACATTGTGGGCAGTGCCCTACTCTGCACACCCTGTGTCTGCCTGAGCCCCTGCCGTTGCTCATCCCGTCCCCTCTCCTCTGCCTGTCCCCTCTTCACCTCCAGAATCCACCTCCTCCGCGTTCTCTGCCTTGCCACGTACTCCTGAGACCCCAGTTTAGGTCTCAGGAACTTAAAAACTTTATAACTAAAGAGGATGAACTCCTGGAGGACCAGCTTTGTCCTCTTGGTGTTTGCTTAGCACGCAAGCTAGAAGAAACCATGTATTTATTGCCCACATTGGAATGTTTTAGTGTGTAAAAGGGGTTCAAGTAGTAATTACAGTGGGAAAATAAATAAAACTGTGCAGTCTGGGTGAACTGAATCATGGGTTACCTTACACGTCACAGAACCTCAGTAACGAATGAGTGTGTGCAGCGCCCATCAGGCCCTTGCTAGGCTCCAGCGAACATCCAGGCTCACAAGATGTTAGAAAGGCAGCCAAGATCTAGAGGGCTGTGATCTGGGGAAACTCCTGAGAAGACCCAACAGTGACTTCTATCTAGCTTTGCTGACTGCCCTTTTTTTTTTTTTTTTAATTTGAATTTTGCTGTTGTCAACTATGTTAAGTATTAAAAAATGATGATAGGAATAACAACTTTAACATAAAAGAAAAAACAAAGGCAGTTCCAGGTGTTCTTTGGCAGGAAGGGAGTCACGTGGTGCATATGGTTTCTTGTAGCTTCTTGTGAACCAAGGGCCACAAGCTGCTCTAGAGGAGGAGGGTTGAAGGGGCTTCCAGGCTGAGTTCTAGATCCGTAAGGTTTACGCGGGATTCCCAAGTGGAGCTGCACTTCAGGCTATTTTATAAATGACCAAATGCTTTTCTTATTTCACGTGAGTACAGTGTCACTGAATCTAGTTCCTTCTCCTCTTCTCAACGTTGGACCTTTAACAGGGCTTTTACTCTGTGATATACAGCTTAGACTATGCCGGAAAAAGGGCCGCCTCCACCCACCCTTCCCCAGGGTTATCCTGACTGAGACACAGATGATAAGTAGAAAAGTCATCCCTCCTACTACAGTCTTGATTCCCAGACTATACCCCCAATACATGCAGGTATTATTATTACATCAAAGAATCACAGATTGCGTTCTCTGGGATTTGGTCTTTCCAAACCCTCTGACTTTTAGGTAGTTTTGGATGTGGAATTAGGGAAAGAAAATAAATTATGATTTGGCAACGCAAAGGCAGCCTTTTGGTGACCAACATCAGACGGACGCAGCTATGACAAACCACAGTCCTGAGCACTTCGTGTGGGACATTCTGATTGTCTGGTTTTCTATGTGGAAAGAAAGATGCCCTCTTCTTGGCCAGTGCTGTCTATAAAATGCCTCCATTTCTCAGAAAAACCAAGAAGTGACAGGAGAGAAATAGTGTGTAAATAAGACAGAATATAAGAGGAGAGAAGAAAGTGGGGAAGGTCAGAAGTTGAAGAAAATTATAGCATTAAATGCTGAGCAGTAGTGACTGTCAGTCTAGACAAAGTGTAAAACAAGGATAAAAATAAAATAAAGCAGCTTTGCAGTGTTGGGGGGTATGGGGATGGGAATCACTGGTCTCCCAAAAGGCCTAGGACATCCCATGCATGAGTCTGTCTGTGTCTCAGCAGCTCTTGCAGGCTTTGTCTGCTAGGCTAACCGTGGACACCAGGAGATCAAGGGCAGCATTAGTACCTGCGCCACAGTGACCCCAGCCATCAGGAGTCTTGAGCCACTGTACCTTGGTGGATGCAAGGGTAGTGCAATGAAAGCCACCTTGGGAGATGGAGTCCAGTATCTCTAATGGAACGTAACATGCTGTGCTAATTTTAAAAGAGAAAATAGAAAATCCTTCCTGACTGGAAAGGACAAAGAGAAAAAGATATTGCTAGGTTTGTACAATATGGCTTCCTTTTCACTAATTGACAAAAGGGATTAGAAAGGAAAGCTGTTCAGTTTCTCTGCACATGCAGAGACTTCTGCTTCCAGGTGGCATGTCGTAGGGAGGAACAAGCCACCACTCCTGCTGCCATAACCAGAAACTTTAATAAAATAACAAAAGCTTTCTCTCAAAATCCATCAGGGAACTGTGAAAGGGAAGAGGACTAGACAAACTAGAATTCTAGGTGAGCTGAGAGCACCTCTCTAAGAGCATTTGCCAAGTCTGGGCACAGGCTGAGAATTGGACTTGCCATGCGCAGAGCGACTTTAATAGTAAAGAGAGGCCAGCAGGACTTCTAGTGGTCATGTGAGCTGGCGTAAGAGGTTGGAGCTAGAGGAGCTTCAAATGCAGACAGTTTTCTCCATGAGACATTTGCTAAGTGCTGGGGCAGCATGGGGAGGGGGAGGCTGGGCCAGAAAGGCTGCAGGAAATCTCCTACAGTCTTGAAGTTCTGAGGAAACCAAGACAAGCTAGAGTAAGCGCCTTCAACAAATGCATACAGATAGTTAAAGACAGAATATTTAAAGACAGGGGTGGACTGATACTCAATGAAAACTGCTATCTGGCCCCAACCCTGCTCAGTCCTTCACTGTGTCTGCTTAACAGGAAAGGGTAAAGACTGGAGAAAAATGACACCGACTTCAGTCTCTGCATTCTTTTCTACACAAGGTCCAGTGCATAGTCAAAATTATGAGCCAAGAGAACATGAAAACATGGCTGACAAGAAGAAAAGTAGAGCAGCAGATCCACAGGTGATCCAGATGTTGAAATTTGCAGTCAAATTTAACCATTTATAAGTGTTAACGAAAATAAAGGAAAATAGAGACAAATTGATAAAAAGGTTGAAATTTATAAAAAAGAATCAAATGGAAATTCTAGAACTGAAAAAAAGAAAGATTTGAAATGATTAACTGATATCATGGGTTTAACAGCAGACTGGTCCCAGCAAAAGAGATTAGTGAATTCAAACAACACGGGTTAATAGAAAATGTACAAACTGAAGCATGGTGAGAAAAAATGGAACAAAATGTAAGAGATATGTGGGACACAGTCAAATGGTCTAATGTGTCTGTAACTGGAGTACCAAAAAGAAAAGATGGGTAAAAAGAAAAATTAAAGAAACAATGGCTGAGAATTTCCCAAAGGCTCATGATAGATATCAACCCACATATTTAAAACACATAACAAATCCAAGGAGAGTAAACTCAAAGAAAACCACATCTAGGCATACCATGGGCAAACTGCCAAAAACCAAAGATATAAATAAAATCTTTAAAACAGCCAGAGAGAAAAGAATGTACTTTCTAAGGAGCAACAGTAAGAATGACGACTCACTATTGACAGAAGCTATGGAAGTCAGAAGAAAGTGGAATGGCATCTTTAAATTGCCAAAAAGAGAACTTTCTAATCTAGAAGTCTATACCCAGGGAAATTCTTTCAAAAACAAAGGTAAGCATTTATTACATTAATATAATATCTATTTGGATATAATTATTTTCCTTTTAGACTATTTCTTTAAGTTAGATTTTTAAGGGAAAAATTAGTTACAGTGTTTTCTTTCAAACTACAGTTTACATATTTTCAAAAGTAAAGTTCAAATAAAGTGATATAGTCCTATCATGGTCTATAATGCTTTATCCCCTCCACCATATCTCTATCTATATATATTCATATATATTATATATAATAATTTTACAGACATCTCAGTATATATAAATGCCTGGCTAACACTTGGGAGACCATGGGGAGCCAAATGGCCCCTTGGAGTCTGTAAGTTATGGACAGTGTTCTCCCGTGGCTGTATGTGCGTGTAGACGTTCCAGAAAGAGAAGCATATACACGACCAAGAAGAATGGGCATAAATGGTAATCAGGTAGTGACAACAGTAACCAAGGGGCGAGGGGATAAGAAAGCAGAACCAAGAATGAGGTCATGAGAAAATGATGGCATCACAAAACTGAGTCTGACAGTCCTGGACAAATGGCAAGATGTTCCTTGTAAGCATCTCCTGACCCATCACAGTGAAAGCAGATTCCCAGGAATGTATAAGATGAAAGTATAGGTAATTCTCATGGAAAGATCAGATGATGCCTTCATTTCTGGCTCATCAGGAGCAAATTATATTATATTATGAGCAAAGACACTTGATTGAGCTTTGTGTGTTTTGGGAAGGGTAGCTTGGCATTTCAAAATGAGGCACAGAATTATAAATCAGTAGGTAAAAGGGAAAACAGGAAATTGCTGGGCAAAAAGCAATTGCTGTATTGATGGCTCTGCTATGAGGAGGGCCGTGGTTCAGAGGCTCTGCAGAGCCCCAGCCTGAGAGCTGTGCCACTATGAGTCCTCTTGCCTCCAACTTGAACACCTGGACCAGCCTGAGAATGCAGAAAAATTCAGCAATTTCAAATATTCGTTTCTGAGAAGAACATATTTTTAAAGGGTTTTATGATGCTGAAAAAGCTAGTCTTCTGATGGAAGCAAGTAGATCAAACTCCCTTGGGCACAAGCAGAAAAAGTAAAGTGTCCTGACTTTGTATATCCCAGTGTTGTAGGTCTGCTCCCGCTCATAACGCAAAACGATTTTTATAAATAACCACAACAAAAACGTTGTCATCAGAAAGCATTGTTGTCCTATGGCCACAGGTCTCAAATAGTGCAGGTGGTCCAACACTGGAATCCTGGTACTCCTTTTGCAACGTGTTTATTTAATTCAGTCATGTGAACTTTACTAGCAGAAATTATGACTAAATTATAGCATATTACATATTTGCAGTGAACTTTCAACCACAAACACATGTCTATAAAATGTGCAGTCTACTGAACTGTAATCAACTATTCCCAACTATTTCTATCAATATCCAAACACCAAAAGTTTTGAAAAATTAGTATAGAAATACAGAATTCAAAATTTAAGATATATAGTTACTAACATTTTTTCACCTGTGGTTTGAGAAAAGCTGACTGTTCTTCAGCTTTAGCTGGACCTTGGACAAGTTCAGGGTACCTGTGTTCCAAAAATATAAAAGTCTGAGAACACTCACCTACAGGATTTTAAAGTTGTATGTCTATTACAAAGAGAAGTATAGGTAGAGGAAATTCACAATTTTGAGCACACTGTACATCTTTTTTCTTACAGAAGCATATTTCCCAACTCAGAGAAGAGATTTCACAAGGAAGTTGATCGGTCACAAAGGCACAGTTTTTGATGAATTAAAATAGCATTCATTTCTAAGTGTTTAATATGACTTGGGAACCCATGTTTTTGTGGTATTTTCTTCTTGCTGGTCTAGGGGCAGATGCTTTTATACAAGACTTGGACTGTCTCAACATACAGCTATTTATAAACATATTTTTTTCTGGTCAGGGAGCAGATGAATGTACCAAAGAAAATGTTGTGTTAACTCCCTTTTCCTGGTAGAAGAGGGCAATCCTGTTATGACTTTTAAAGGCTAGTTAATCCAAAGATAAGCTATATGTTACAAAATCCATTGATTTTTATTTAACTGAATGAGAAGTTAGGGCTAATTGACATTCGCTAGGCACATACAACCACAGATGGGGAGCTGACTTAACAAATGTCTCTGGACGTTTCTGGAAGCACTCTACTGGGTATCTGTGATGTACCTAGCGGCACACGGCGTGGGAAGTCTGCCCTTCCACGACCACAGGACCTGGCAGGTGGAGGCACATCCACGACAGGGAGAGATGACATCACAGCTGTGTGACAGGGTAGTACGACATGAGGGCCCCAGGTATGGATTCATGGGAGGTCAGAATCTGGAGGGTGATGGTCACAGGTCACTGTGGTGCCCCTGCAGTGGGGATGGGGGAGCACCCTTAGATCCATCAGGAGGCTCAACCCCGGCTCTGGCCTCTGCTGTGCTCTGTTGCTGACGAGCTCTGCTGCTGCAGGAGCAGTGCCGTGTCTCCCTTCTCTCTGAGTACCTCGTGCTCTCTGGTGGTTTAATTCTTCAGGACCCACTAGCCCATGGACTGCGGGAATGGATGACTCGCCTAGTGTCACGGGGGATGCAGCTGATGAGATCATGGACCGCATCGTCAAGTCAGCCACCCAAGCGCCCGGGCAGCGAGTGGTGCCGCGGGAGAGGAAGCGCTCCCGGGCCAACCGGAAGTCTCGTAAGTGCCTTGGAGTTAGGATGTGGGACTCTGCCTGCAGGGACCAGCCCTCCGGTTCTGTATGACCCAGGAAGGGCAGGGACTCAGAGGCGGGCTCCGGTGCCCGGAGGGCCCACCTGTGCCCATCGACAAAAGATTTCGTGCTGGACAGTCAGCATTGGCCACTAGGGAGGAGGGATGCTGCAGCTGCCTGTCCAGTGTATTTGCTATTTCTGGTCAGGCCTCCCCCAATTCACACTTTGTCCCCAGGAAGGTGTGAAAGGCCCTTAGATGACTCTGGTGTGCAGGGGTGGGCACAGTGGGACCCGTTGCCAAGTACTGCCCTGGATGCTTTGCTGAGGCCATATTATTGCCCCTCACCCAGCATCAGGGGCTACTTTCTGGGCTGGAGACTGTTCCCCCAGGGGTTCACTGCTGCTCATGGGCATATGCTGAAGGTGAAACCAGGGGTGGCAGCGATTTTCGGTCCTTAGGATGCTTGAAATAGTTCATGTTAGCCTAGGTTCACCAGTTGTTTTTTTTTCCTACCAAACAGAGGATTCAACTACATCAAAGCGACCTATTTGCCCTTGTAGTCTCAGCCTGTTACCTGCCCCTATCCGCTGAATGACGGGTGTGGAGTTGCCTCTGTGGGCACCATGCTGACTCTCACAGGGATGGCTCGCTGTAGAGAAGCAGGGTTCTCTGAACCTTTGACATCTGCCTTCATGGCCGTGGCCCCTAGTGCGTTTCAGAAGAGACCTCAGCCCCCAAGCTTTGGCCTGGTGCTGGTCACTCAAGATCAATCCCTAGGACAGGGATTTATGATGTTTTGTAAAGAGGAAATCTGTCTGCCTCCTCATTTCCTGGCTCCCAAAAGTGAAAGGAGGGAGAGTGGCTGTCAGGAGGCAGGAGTTCAGTAAGAACTCAAACTCAGAGCCCCCCAGGCGCCACCACCTTTGAGATTCGTACAAGGGGTGACTGAGTTTTGGGCTGCATATTTTGGACGCCTTGGTTCTGTTTGACCCGTTGACGTGCTTGTTTCCAGGGTAAAGAACACTAAACCAAATTGCTGCAGACTCTCGGACCCTGCTCATTTTATATCATTGGCTTTAGATTCTGACAGGAATTTTTCCCCAGAAAAGAAAGTATCACTTGACACCTCCACCAGGGAGAAGCAGAGTTTCTCAAACCACAGAACTTGGGGGCTGGGGGATGTGATTCTCATTCAGTGAGATGGGTGGTTGAGAGTCTGTTTTCACCACACTCCTAGATGAGGTCCATCCTGCTGGTACACACTTTGAGTAACTTTTTTTTTTTTTTAAAGACTTTAATTTTATTTATTTATTTTTGCTGTGTTGCGTCTTCGTTTCTGTGCGAGGGCTTTCTCTAGTTGTGGCAAGCGGGGGCCCCTCTTCATCGTGGTGCACGGGCCTCTCACTATCGCGGCCTCTCTTGTTGCGGAGCACAGGTTCCAGACGCGCAGGCTCAGTAGTTGTGGCTCACGGGCCTAGTTGCTCCACGGCATGTGGGATCCTCCCAGACCAGGGCTCGAACCCGTGTCCCCTGCATTAGCAGGCAGATTCTCAACCACTGTGCCACCAGGGAAGCCCCTGAGTAACTTCTTGAACTGTGGCTCTCAACCATGGCTGCACATTAGAACTTTCTGCAGAGCTTTAAAAATTCCAGGTGTCTGGGCTGTACCCAAGCTGACCACCTGAGAACCTCTGCTGTTGGGCCCTGCCCAGGCCCCTTGGGTGATTAGTGGCCTTAGGAGAAGGACTCTTGTTCCACTCTGTGCGACCCCTGTCACATTCCCTCTGTTTTTTAAATGGAAAACTATCATTCAGGGGCACTGGCTTTTTACATCTTCAGAAATATGTTTGTGGGCTCCAACATCAATATCTAAGACCTTTACATTTATTTTTTCCGACATTTCACTGTTTCCTGGTGCTGCTGTGAATTCTTTGCCATTCTCTTGGGGCTCCCATGTAAGACCTTGGCTAGGGACTTGCTATTTAAAGTTGTTCCTCAGACAGTATGGGCACCTCTTGGAGGCTGGTTAGAAATGCATATTCATGGGGACCTCTCCGGGGCAACTGATTCAGAATCTGCATTTAACAAGATCCCCAGGGGACCCCATGCACAATAACGTGGAGGGGGTCAATGGGGTATGAGGCCAGGACTGGAACTGCAGGATCCCCAGGTGTGCACATCTTGGGGAGCAAACTCATCTCCAAAGGGGTGAGGCTGACCCACACTCTCTCCACACTGCATGCTCCAGGCCAGGCCAGCAAAGCACTTGCCTTTTTGCCTGTCTGAAGCGTGTGAAATAGTATTCCTTATGGTTTTCACTTACTTTTCCCTGCTAGTGTACTAGGAAGGTCGAGTCTCTCGTGATTTGCATCTCTTCTTTTGTGTATGGCTTGTCCATACCATTTGCCTGTTTTTCTCTTGCTCTTTTTCATGAACAGAAATCTCTTTCTTAAATAGTTTTTTAAATGAAACTTATGAGAGGCTTTTTCAGGTGCCTTAAGTAGATTATCTTCAGTATTTGCCCTTTATTGCCCTCCTCTTATTTACTTCAATAAACCGGTAACCAAATGGCAGAAATTTTGCAGCAGTTAACGCCTGGCCTTCCTGCAGTGGGCAACCTTAGTGCAAGAGTCTCCACTGGGAGGAGCTGGGAAAAGCATGTGGGGAATCAGACCACGGGAGAGGAGCTGAGAAAGGATGCCAGGTCAGGGAGTGCCCTCCAGAAGGTGGGCAGGGTTGGGTCAGGGACCTCAGAAAAGGAGATTGCCTGAGAGGGGCCTGGCCCAGGGTATGTACTCCTCCTATAGGTTACATGTCTGTGTTGGCAAAGAGTGTTGGCCCTGCCCTCTGGTCTAGAGAGAACCAGATTCTTAGAGAGACACAGAATGTCACTGGGAACAATAACACAGTCATAATGAGTTTTCCTCTTCAATCTGGCCAGAGAGAAATATTGCCTGTTTTTGTGGTTGACATAAAATAATTTCCTGTGGTATCGTTTCCATTCCAATCTTATGCAAAACAGCCCTATATTCTTTTTATTTAGCCCAACACATTTTGTCCTGTGATGCAGTTACTACAACAAATACAGCACTGCATGTATGTAAATGTTTATCTGTAGCAGGTTTAATTAATTAGTAATGGCACCATCCACAGAAATGTAAGATGGGGGAAGTTACTTTGATTTCTAATATAAAGGGATGTAAACTCTAGCTTTTCATAAGAAGTTAAAGGAATGAGAAAAAAACAGTTTGCAAAATCGATGTGAAGTGTTGGGCTGGGGCCTCACCCTGAAACGATGCTGCGTTTGATTTGATTGTGTAATGGTGGCCATGTGGCAAGTGGATAAATGAATAACCAGCATATTTGGGCTATACCTCATTTGGCTAAAGACAATAATGGTCCAGCTATTGTAGGAAACCAAACAGAATCCAGCTCATAACCTAGAAATTTATGACCTGCAAGACCCTCAAGAATCCTCTGAGATGCTTAAAACATCTGCTTTGTTTCGTGTTTGATGCTGGTGGCTAGGCCTACATCCACCAAATGTCCTGCTTAAAGCCTGAAATATGCAGCCAGTTGGGACTCACCGAGGGCACTGTAGTGGATTCGCAGGTTCCCAGGCTCTGCCCCTTCTGTTGTTTTCCCAGCTGGTGCCATCGGGGTCTCATTAAGTAAAATGTTTCGAATTGTCCAGTTGATTTCTAGCCTGTGAAATGTCAGCACAACGCGTGTCATATGCTTCCCCAGATTCTGGCCACGGCTCTCAAGTCGGCTGGTGGAGATGGCCAAGAGAGCGTTCTCCAAGCTCTTTGTTTTCTTCTTATTTGGGTTTCTCTTTTCATCATACTGGGGCAAGTCCTTTGTCCCGGGGCTACTTGTTCTCTTAGGCCTCCCGGATGTTGGTCTTCCCTAGAAAACCCTGAAGCTGACGGGCATCTGAGATCTCCTTCCCACTGTGATTCTGCAGGACGGGCCTGGGGCCTGGGGAAGAAAAGGACCCCTTGTGTTCTTTTCTGTGGGACCCAGCTTCGGAAGAGGGTCTCTGCCCAGCTGGCTGTCTGCATGGAGCCATTACCCTGGACTATCACAGAGCAGAGCAGGGATTAGGGACTCATAATTGGCCTTTTTCTCTTTCCTGCTAGAGAGGCTGAATGCCCCCTCTCCTGTTGAGTTTCTCTTCAAGAGGAGTCTGGGCCCCACCTGTGACGTGACCGTGCAGTTTTGGGCTCAGGGCTATATTTCTTTAAAAATGCAATCACTTCGATGTGACCTACAAATAATCTAACAGTTTCTTAGGAACAAAAGAACAGTTTCTCAATGGGAAGGGCCAGAAGCCTGATTCTAGGGGCTGCTAGGAAAGGAACACTGAACTCTGACCTGACTTCAGGCTCTCATCTCACCCCATCTCTTATGAGGCTTCAACATTCCTCTTGAAGGGCATGTGACATATTCACGTTGATTCGATATAACTAAAATCTTATTTTACAGAATATTGAGGGGTGTTGCCATGCTATCTGTTAAGCAGGATTCCGTGGAGAAGGAGAACGAACGAATCTGAAAAAAAAATATTGAATCTGTTTTAGGGAAAATGGGAGATATGCCTCACAAAATATTAGATTGATCCCTGGAACTGATCAGCACTCAGCTTAGTTTAGTTGTCTCTAATTTTCCAAAGTGGTATTTGAAAATGTTCAGGAATTTTCCCACTAATCCCATTAAGAAAAATTTCCCTGCATGTTATTTACATAGTTCTTCCCTACTTAAAAATTTTATATTCTTTTATAGGGACAATGGAATGGGCCAGAGACTTTAAAATGGATGCTCTTAGAATACAGTAAAATAAGATGTTAGTGGAAAGGACCAAAGTTTCTCAGTCAAATTTTTGTCTTCTCAACATCATTACTATTTACTCAGCACCTAATTATTCTTCGAGCTCATTAAAGCTGGACTGATTCCTCCTCTAAAGACAGCTAAGGGCAGCCACC